ACATTCACCCGTCAATCAATCTGCAACTTTTAGCGACACAGAGTGAAGATTCATTAGTTAGCTAGCTCCCTAACAGCATGGCTGGTCACAAAAAGTATTGGACATTCAAATGTCGACCTGATGATGGTGCTAGATTAAAAGTCAGAGGATCAATTTTAGCCGTTACAGTTCAACCCGGGGTTGAGCCTGAGTGTTAGCATACTGACAGCTAATTGTTAGCATACATTTTTTGTTCAGTTCAGTTTGGATCAAAGCGGAGAACTGACATCAACATCCCTACAGCCGCCAATAAACCGTCCAATAACACTCCATCCACAAACCTGCAGTCAGTCGGAGTTAATCTTTCACTTTAAAGCCTCGGGCTCATTTATTATTACATCAACATGAAGCTAGGTAACCATGGCGACGCCCAGTGAAGATTTGCCTCCTGATACACAACGACTGGTTGTACGGAGCAGGTGAAAAAAACACAGAGATTAAAACACTTTACATCTTTGTGATCACATCAGCATTTAAATAAACTAAAATCAATCACATTGAAGAGATCAGTGAATTCACTTGCAGGGGCAAAATCTGACTGATAGCAGTTTACCATGAGGTTTATTTGTTTATGGCAAACAGTGGAACAAAAGAAATCCTGGATCCTGCTGCCCATCCTGCTCCTATAAAACCTGAGGCTCGTATAGCACTGCCATATTCTCATAAAACAATCCCAAATAAATAAATGAAACAACCATCACTGTGTAATACTACGTATATCTAGTCTAAGTACAGAATAAATATTAAGTAAAACAACATATAACTCATATAAATGTATAAAAAAGTTTATAAATATGACTCAGGAGCTTTTTATGAGCTAAAGCTAAAGCTGTGTTATACAAAGTCATTTCTAAGGTGCTTTTATTTTTAGTACAACTGACTTCTGACCTCTGACCTGGTTCTATAGTTACCCACTTTATGAGTCTCCCCTTGACAAACATTCCCTTTTTATACTAATCCAAGGCAGTATAAATGTATGTATTTGAATGTTTCTGCACATGGGGGTCTATAAACAGTACTGTTATTGTATAAACTTGGAATGACTGTAAAGCTGAAACTCTTGTGGAGTCTTTGAGCTCAACCGTATTAATGTGTTATATTGTTCGTCCCCACAGTCGCCATTTCATTGTAGTGAGAGCACTTTTTGTGTGACCTTTAGGATCACAGCCTCAGAAAAACTGCACAGGCAGAGGGCATCCAGAGGGCTGATCTCCCAATGTCAAAAGATTTTGATACCAAATTCAAATTTAATTTATTTAACTTTAATGGCGTCCTCAATGTCTTAGTGTTTGTAAAGACCGGCTCAAAAAGCTGCAACCTAAGGAGGGACACCACTGTGGGTGAATGGAAATCTACTTACAAAAAAACCCAAAATGGCTTAACCAACAGAACTAACAAAGAGCTGGGGAGGGTGGAGCCACTTATATAGACTCAGCCCACAAACTCAGACAGGTGTCCTCCATCACCTAGAACTCAAACACATAGAGCAGACACACAGGAACAGGACCCAGAATGACGCCCCCTTCTTTAAGATGACAGTATCATCCTCAGGTACACGTGAGAGGCACCACCAATGCATGAGCTGTTGTTATACGTCACATAAGAGGTTTTAAATACATGGAAATAAAAATAAAATTACAAAAATATCCTGTGAATTACATGTTTAATGTAAAATAATGTGAAAATCTGTAACTGTAAATAATTATAAAATTACTGCTGAAGAAAATGTCCCCTTTTTCACATAAAAAGATTAAAATATATTTACAAATCACAGATATACTGTTTATTTAAATTCTAAAATGATGTAAAATTAGTGACATTAACAGTAAACAGTATTTGTTGTGTAATTTTAATGGATTAGTTTGTTAATTGACAGATATCTTATATAATTATGGATGTTTTCACAACATAAATGTTGAATAAATGTTTTTTATCAGTGTATAAGCATTTGTAAACTGTCCAAATACAGTTTTTATCAGTGAGAACAGCAATAATTATTGTAATTTCACAGATGGTGACTTTTATTACAGTTCTACAACTTTTAAAATTCATATTAAAATAAGAAAGATAAAATAATAACAATCATGTTTCCTTTTAAAACACAAAATTGAGATTTTGACAGATCTGTAGCTATTACCTCTGGCTTTTTTCTGGCTTTTTAAAAAAAAATTATATTTTAATATGTATATTTTCGAAAATGTTTAATTAAAGTGCAGTGACAGCCGTGCAGCAAATAATCTTGTTAATGTGTGCCTTATTATGAAGAGATGTATTTATGTATGTGAACCCTGTACAGTGTTGAGGGGATCTTTTTGACTATGGAGTATGGAGTTTTCCATACCACAATGAAACAAATGAAACAAAGTAAAATTATGTATTGCAGTGTTGTCCAGCAGAGAGAAGCATGGACCTGCTAACATTATAAATGCATTAAATGCTTTCAATCATGTTTCATTTTAAAACACAAATCTAAGACTGTAGCTAGTGAGGAGAGGCCTTCTGGTGGAGGGAGTGACAATGTATTCAGCGTTGCATTAAATAAAGTTGTGTTAAATGAAGTGGAGTCTGTTTCTAAACTGTATGTTAATCATTACAGATGTTTGGTGTGCCAGTTCACCTCCAGGACCACAGCTACTGGAGCCGGATGAGAACCAGCACAAACAAGGTGAAACACAGTGTATCAGCACTCACACACACATGTGACAGAAAACATGTCATATCATAGTTGTCTCACCAAGTTACAGTGTGCCACATGCTGAAAGGTTTGAAACTATGCCCCTTGACAGAGAGCTTTTTAGCTTTTCTCCAGGTAAGCAGGTACAGAACCTGCATGCACCTGGGAGGGTCTATGTTTTTTGGCAGGAGCCATTGTTTAATGCTATATTGTTAACTTGCTTGCCAAGGATGAATGGAACTGTGTCACTGCCCTGCATCTGTTTGAGCAGAGAGATAATATAAAGGTAAGATGGTCATCATCTGTGATCATGGGAGGACATTAAAGGACCATCCCGTATGTCAGACAAGCATTACCCAGGACAAGACGTCTGTCCACACTGGAGGTCCAGCTGTAGGACCTCCTGTCCCTCCTCTGCAGTGTTGCCAAGGCAGCTGGTCACATCACAGCCCTGAGTGGTTGAGATGTGTGTTTGGCTATAACTCCTGTCCTGGGAGCAGCAGTAACGTGTCTTCAGTGTCTCTGGATGTACTGCAGGAAGCTGACCCACTGACTGTCTGTCCTCCTGCAGGTCTTCGGTTTTCAGAATCAGAATCAGAATCAGAATCAGAATTATGTTTATTGCCAAGTAGGTTTTTACACCTACGAGGAATGTGTCCTGGTGCAATTGGTGCATAAAATATACAAATACAAATATACAAAT